GATTGTTGGTGAACTTATTTATCTAGTCTCAGCTTTATAATTAATTAATTAATAATTTTAATTTAGAGACGAGGTTTTACTTTGTTGCTCAGGCTGGAGTGCAGTGGCATGATCATAGCTCACTGCTACCTTGAATTCCTGGGCTTAGGAGATCCTTGTGCCTCAGCCTCCTGAGTAGCTGGGACTACAGATGTGTACCACCATGCCCAGCAGTTTTTTTTTTTGAGACGGAGTCTTGCTCTGTGGCCAAGGCTGGAGCGCAGTGGCACGATCTTGGCTCACTGCAAGCTCCACCTCCCGGGTTCACACAATTCTCCACCTCAGCCTGCCAAGTAGCTGGGACTACAGGTGCCTGCCACCACACCCAGCTACTTTTTTTTGTTTTTTTTAGTAGAGACGGGGTTTCACCGTGTTAACCAGGATGGTCTCCATCTCCTGACCTCGTGATCCGCTATTCTCGGCCTCCCAAAGTGCTGAGATCACAGGCGTGAGCCACCGCACCTGGCACCCAGCTAATTTTAAAATTTTTTTATAGAGATAGAGTCTTGCCATCTTGCACTGTCTGTTCTTCAACTCCTGGCCTCAAGGGATCCTCCCACTTCAGCCTCCTAAAGTGTTGGGATTCCATGCGTAAGCCACTGTGCCTGGCCTATTCTTAGCTTTTAAATTCTTGTGTTTGAAAGAACCCATTTGACTGTTCCAAAAGTGTGGGGGACAGGTCATCTTCTTTCACACGCATTGTATTGCTTTGTAAGGTAAATAAAGTACTATATTAAGAAACGTGAGGTGTAAAATCCTTCTTGAACACTTTTAACTTCACTCTTCCCTATGCTGGCCACTCTGCCCCCTCATCAGGCTCTTCCTTACCACACTGCTGTGACCCAGATTGTCTTTCTTTCTTCTTGTAGCACTTGTTAGACTCTATTGCAATTATTTGTTTATGTATTTGTCTCTTGTTAGACTGATCTTGAGTATAGAGATGGCTCTTTCTTCTTGTATTCAAAGTAACTACCACCATATTTGTCTTACAATAAGCCTCAGTGTTTGTTGAATGAATTTATATCAATATCCATGCCATTCATGAGAAACAAGTAAAACTTATTATATAGAGCACAGAGGTGGTTTCTAATTTGTGTTGCTCTTATTTTTACTGTTAGATGTAAAACATTGAATGATTTGTTACCACTTGGCATAATTAAATTTAGCATTTTTCTTGTTTAAGTAGTTCAGTTTTTGAGACACTTTTATGAGCCTCACTATATTAATGGCCTTATTGGTGCTTTACAGATTTTGTGATTCATGGGCACTGTAAGTATAGATTTCATGCTTACAGCAATTGAGTAAAATAGGCACATTGTTCTTTGTTAGTTTCTTCAATTGGTTCTTTTAATTTTCCTGTTCTTACTGGTGATTCCTTGAGGCATCTGGCCAGTGTTGAGTATTTCTTCCTGACTCATCATCCCTTCTGCCACCTGCCAAAGGAATGCTTTTACTTTGGTCAAGAGCATTTGGAGTGAGTTAGATTTCATTATTGGTATAGGCTATGGACCACCTGATAAGTCTAATCATGTCATTACTAATTAGTATTGACTGCCAGCCACCAGAATGCTTAATTCAGGTGCTATGCTGTTTTAATTCTAAGGGTGTTGTGAAGTATGGAAAAATCCTTTACCTGAATATGAAACTAGCTACTCCATTTGGTGTTCTCTCGCTACCCCTGCACCATTTTCCTTTGTGTGAAATTTCAGTTGATTATATTAAATTTACTTTTATATAGTCTTTCAGAATCAGTAGAATTTTTTTCCTTAGATATATCTAAGTCACTCCTTTTTGAGATGATTCAGAAAAGAGGAAACTGAGGATTGGGAGTTAGAAAGGGAGAAAAATGACTGGTAGGTAACGTAGCAGTTTTAACCTTTTTCTCAGGAGAGTGATTCTTCTAGGCTTTAATACTTGTATCTGAGAGCTGGGAGGAAGCTGCGTTGGAGGGTATCTGGGATCTCGTGAGACCCTAGAAAATGAGAATCCATCATGAAGTAAGAAAGGCATTGATAGGGCTTAAAAATGTTTGGCTACAGTGAAAGCTTTTTATTTATTTATTTTTATTTTTAATTAATTATTATTATTATTATTATTATTTATTGTTGTTGTTGAGGCACAGTCTCGCTCTGTCGCCCAGGCTGGAGTGCAGTGGTGTGATCTTAGCCAACCTCTGCCTCCTGGGTTCAGACAATTCTCCTGCCTCAGCCTCCCGAGTAGCTGGGACTACGGGCGCCCACCACCATGCCCAGCTAATTTTTGTATTTTTAGTAGAGATGGGGTTTCACCATGTTGGCCAGGATGGCCTCGATCTCTTGACCTCGTGATCGGCCCACCTTGGCCTCCCAAAGTGCCGGGATTACAGGGGTGAGCCACTGTGCCCTGCCAATTAATTTATTTTTTTGAGATGAAGTCTCACTCTGTTGCCTAAGCTGGAGTGCAGTGGTGTGATCTCAGCTCACTGCAACCTCTGCCTCCTGGGTTCAAGTGATTCTCCTGCCTTGGCCTCCCAAGTAGCAGGAACTGCAGGCTATCTGCCACCACTGCCAGCTAATTTTTGAATTTTTAGTAGAGACGGGGTTTCACTATGTTGGCCAGGCTGGTCTTGAATTCCTGATCTGAGGTGATCCAACTGCCTTGGCTTCCCAAAGAGCTGGGATTACAGGTGTGAGTCACTGCACTCGGCCAGCTTTTTAGAATGCATTTTATCTGCGGCTAGTTAAAAGAAATTTACTCACCTTTGAATGAAACTGTAGAAGGAAAATCCTGAATTTTCTAGATCTCACGGGATGATTAGAGAATCCCAAAAAGTGAAGTATTGATCGTTACAAACAAAAAGGGTAAAATGTCACCTTATAGTCTTTTCATTTAGTGCAATATCTTTATTGTGGCAAGTTATAAATTATTGATAGAGGCTTCTATAGTTTATTTTTCTACTTTTGGTCTCTTTATCCTAGCTTCCCACTAGATTAAAAAATTCTCCCCAAATATATTCTGCTGTGGGATTTTTCAGAAATATTAGCACCCTCATTGGAGAGGAATTACCTTCTACCTGTATTTCTGGAAGGGGAAGCTTATGTGAATCTCTAAAAAGAGAACTATATTGATGTTACGAAGTAAGTATTATAGGTGAAAGAGAGAATAAGAAAAAACTCAATGTTTAAAGGAGCACCTATTGAGTTACTCTGTGCAAGGCCGACCAACTCACCTTGTGATCTTAGTTAAGCCATGTAATCTCCCTGAGCCTCAGTTTATTCATATATAAAATAAGCAAGTTGAACTCTTCTGTTCCCCAGTTCTTTATAAAGTCATTTATTCTTAGATATTCATCATACGCCTGTTGTGCTATGTATTCAGCAGTTGAACAAGACAGATACGGTCTCATCCTTGTAAGAAGATTTCTCTTTCCTCTATCTCTGCTGACCTGTCCTTCTGTCTGTTCTCTTATCTAGTAATTGGGTGGATAATAAGGAAATGAAGCAATGTGAAATGATTAATTACAAATTTGGGGACTCTGTCTGCTTTTATGGACGAAGTGGATTGACATTTTGGGGGGGAAAAGTACCTTGTAAAAATATAGTTCATATATATTAAAAATGTTATTAAAATGAAAAAGTGATTTATCAGTTAGTGGTAAATTAATTGGGTGACTGGGGAGTGAAAACTATTTGACTTGGGAGACAAAATTACTCTCTAGCTCAGTCTAGATTTAGGTATAGCAGATATTTAGGTATAGCAGATATAAAATGGAAAGGATTTATCTTTGGTGTTGAGTAATTTAAAAAAAGGCATTTGAGCTTCTTGGGAATAGTTACCCATCTTGATGTATTTGCTGAAGATCAGGTGTAATTTTTAAAAAACATTTTTGGTAGAAAAATGTCTTTGGTATAAATCAGGCCTAATATCTTGAGCTTTATGCCTTTATTCTAGAAAATTGAATTTTTTTATCTCATAAAAGAGGAAAATAATTTGAATGGAGTTAATAAAAATGAAAGGAGTAAAATTTCACTTAACTTAGAAACACAGTGAGGCATCCAAAATGAAGAAAAATCCCTTATTTGGCTTCTAGATCTAAAATGATATTCTAGTCTGTGTAGGTTGGTTCAAGAGCACTTCACCCCTGTTCGAGGCAGCCAGGTTAGCTTTATTGAATGTAAACCTCTGACTTCTCCCAAGATACTGATGAAAGCAACTAAATTCATTGGTTATTAGGCAGCAAGAGTAAGTTCAATTTTCTCTAGACTTGTGACAATTAGAGGTTGGTTCTAGCCTATCTAATGCTTAAGTTTCAAGGCTACCTCTATTTGAGAGCTGTTTTGGAGAGATAACCTTGTAACACATACATTTTAATGAGTACATTACTTTTACCACCTGCTGAAGTTGACTTGGAGTGACTACTGACCTGAAGTGAATGCCTGTGTTCAATATTAATATGGCACGTCTGGATCTAGACAGCAATCTTTCATTTTGACATGCACATAGTCAAAGTAAATTAATGTTTAAAACTCAAACACTCTAAGTTCAGCCAGTGTGTGCATTCCATAATAATCCTTCAGAAGCAGTTTACATAGAAATGCCGAGTGCTTTCTTATACTTTATTTATCATATGTATTGGGTCCACATTGCAGTATTTGCAACAAGATTTATCCAGTGCTGTTTTTGTTCCTTGTTTTGTGGTGGCTAAAGAAGTTAATTTATTTCAGGATTTAGTCTCTGCATGTTTTAAGCAAAATTATACTTAAAAATCTTCATGTGCCTGGCAAGATAGTAGTCTAATTTCAGTTATATTATTTTTAGATGAAAAAAAAAATTAAGCTAATTCCATACTTTATTTCTGCTCAAATGAACACCAATTTTTGAAAGTATAGTAGTAGTTAAAAAAAAGAAAAAAAACTAGGCTCAGATGTAATGTGTGTTTGTGACTACATGTAAAAGGATATTGCTGATTTTCCTTTTCTCTCATACATACCATTTTCTAGTCTTGCTTTTATTGGTTAGAAAACATTCTTGGCAGATGTAGTAATGGGGAAATTATATTAACATTTAAGTATTAAATTAGCTTGTAGCCAGAGTCTCCTTCTAATATGATGACATTTAGCAAGTTCAGGATTTTAAGGACCATGTTGCGCAACTCATTGTTACACATTTCCTGTTTGCCTTTTTTGAAAAAGTATCTGAGATCTGTTTTTTCAGATTGGAAATTTCCATTGTGGATTTCAATGTTGTTGTTGTTTTACCTTGCTGGTCAGTGTTTGTTATTTATGTATTAAGAATATGTAGTATACTGACCATAATGAGAATAGTAGGTGATTGGAGTTGTATGCAGATGACAGTTTTCATAACATTTTTGCAGTTTAATTTCAATGAAAAACCTCAAGTTATATTTATTAGCAAACATATTTCAGCTGAGGAGTTTTTTATGCTCTAAAAAGATGGCAGATGGAAATGAACCTAATATGTGTTCAAAGAAAGTATGCTGCATTTATTTTAAATTATATCTATTACATCAGCATGATGATTTATATGTTGTCTTAGAATTGAAATAGATGCCATACTTTTACTGTAAAACTCAAAATTAGATTTCTTCTATGTTTGACAGAATTTGTTTTCTGTTCGTAAATAAAGACAGTATTTGGTTTAGGATGTAGAACATCAAATAACAACTGTTAGATTATGTTTAATATATTTATCATTTTCTGAATTTTAGATGTTCTTAACATCAGAAAAATGTGTCCTTTACATATTTTTATGTACGGTGACTTTAGATTGGATTTGGAAGCGTTGTACAGAGAAGACCTATTGTTCCTATTGAATAAGGATGCCCTACAGAGATGAGCTTTTTGACCCACTGCTCTTCCGGTAGTAATGGATTTGCACTGATTTGAGCAGAGTATCCCACTTGGTCCTGTTTTTCAGTTGTCCTGTGTGATGGCCGGCTAGCAAAATCAAACATCTGCTTTTTGGCTGTGGAAGGCAGTCAAACTAGCTGGCTCATACTGGTTCAAATTTGCAACACTGATATGGTTAGTATTATGCTGTCACTACCTGAATTAACTAGTTGTGGCTAAATTGTTTATATTATATGAACATATTCGTTATTATTCTGCATGGAGAATTTTTGTCCTCATGGATTGTTTCATAAAGTGTTTTATTAGCTTGGATTAATTGGAATATAAGCTTTTTAATATGGACCTCTCCCCTAGTCAGAGACTTTGTGAATGATTTCTACAAAAATAAACTATAAAATAGATGATATAATGGGGCCTATTATTCCTGATTTGATTTTAATTTGCTTCCTTTCATAATTTTTCCATGATAAAACAGAGCCTCTCAGAAAGTAAGAGGATGTAATCCTAGCTCAGGTGGTATGGGGTCCTTACATCTTGAGCTATTATGATGGAAGGCACCCCTGTACCTCCATTGATGGAAATATGGTGGGCAGACATTTTCTTTGGTGAAAAGTAGTTCATAGTTGACTGTAATATCCACTTCTTGGACTTACTTTAGAGGACTGTTTACTGAGGGCAAAATATGTGCATGATTACATATAATAAGGTTAATTTTTATCAAGGGTCACCATGTTTTTGCTATGGTCTGACAATCATGACCTACATTAAAAGAGCCCTGTGGGTCTGTCTGGTGTGTTTTTGCTTGATGTCTGGGTAGTTTATTTCAGATCCTTGTCAGTTTCATTATATATTTTTGTTTGGGGCTCTTGCTGGATTTTCAGGTACACCATAAAAACAGTTCTCTTTGCAGTTAGATTGTCATGAAATAGCTTCTGTTTTATGATATGAAAACACTTTTAAATCTTGAAGGGCGAGTAATTTTGGGGACATTTTCCATTTGGTGTTGTGTTATGTTCAAATGGTAGATTATTTTGAAATAGGATAGACTTTGCAGCTAAGATTCCAGATTTAGTTCAGTTAATTCATTCTTTAGTGAGTTTTTCTTGGGAAAATATTTTGGAATTTTCAGTTCAAATGCATCCTCCTCATTTAAGAAAAATCCAGATGAGTAGTTTATTTCACAACATAATAACTAAATAGGATTTATAAAGCAGAAATTTACAAATATTTTCTTTTCCTGGGACAAAGGCAATGGTGAAAATTAGAAAAAACAAAGTTAGGACATTTAGGTAACTCAAAGACAGAACTTAATGGCTGCTAAGATTGGAGTATTTGGTTTTGTAGTTTTTAAAACATATTTAATTTCGGCCATATCTATCTTATTTAGTAGTTTAAAGGATAAACAGTTCAAACAGCCAGAAAAAAGCAGTTTGTGTTTTGTCAGTTTTCAACTTTCGATATCAGTAAATCATTGCTGTAGCTTTCTTTATCTTTTGTTTGCACAAAAAACCTGTTAGAATTATGTCTGGGGGGACCATCTGCTGTGGTTCCCAGTCTTGTCAGTGTGATAAGGGATAAGCTGTATAAACAGGGGCACCACAAAAAAAAAAAAAAAAAAAAAAA